ATCCTCAGTTAGAAAGTGTTTCTTTAGGGTCTTGAAATATGGAACTGTTTCTCTTTAGAGCAGTGAGTGAGATCACTGACATGGCCTGGAAATTCTGAAAGCTCCATTCATGTAGAACTATCCAGGATTGATAGGAGAGTAGTGGGAAGCCAGACTTGGTGGAACAAAAGATATTAGAAGCCATCAGAGTAATGAGATAGGAAGATGAATTTAGTCCAGCTATAAGATAGAGGACCCTAGCATTATTTCTCCCCAAGTTAAGCCCAAATTGTCTTCTCTGAAATGTGCATTTTGTCTTCAGGAACATGAAGAAAAGGCTGACTCCCGAATTCAGAGTGGCAAGTTTTTCTTCATCACTAAAGAGACAGAGGGCTTGAGAAGGGAATTAGAGGGAGATTGATTCATCAAAGACAATCAAAGTGATCTAATGAAGAAGGCTCTACATCAATAAAGGCTGGGTGGGATTTAAATCTGCCCCATCTTCAAGATTTCCCTTTCCACATTGCCCTGAGAAAAAAGACAATCAAGGAAACACTTACAGAGAAAAGACATCCCAATCACTAGGAGGCTCATGTAAAGGAAGCTGTAGGACTACAGTAATGGAGAGAGGTAGGTTTCCACCGATAATGAGATCTCCAGGTCTGTAAAAGTCTTTTTGTAGTTGGAAAGGTCTCCTCCAGAAACAGTTTGGCCTCAGGTCCATCTGGACGGCTGCTGGCAAGAACCAAAGGAATGCTAAAAGCCAACTCATTGGCCACATAAAGAGACCTTCTTTCTACAGTAAATCAACGGAGGATGATGTAAGCAATGTGATGCTCTGCTGACTTCAGAGGGCTGAAGTAGGGTTTTAAGTCTTCAAGATGAGCATTCATCTCAGCTCCAACTCTAAAGGGACCCACCTATATTATTCAGAGCATGCTAAGTAAACATGTTTTGACCGGACAGAAATCATTTTGTGCTGATGGAGGGTTAATCTCTGGAAATCTACTGAGATGAAGTAAGAATTATTAGTGTTTTATCAAACCTAGGAGAGAGAAATGTCCACATTACTCCATAACTCTGTAGTCAGTGGCATTTGGCAAGAGGGAAGCTTTTTTGTGAAGCCACAATTGTGTGTCTCTTTCTGTGAATTTGACAACTGTGACCAGAGAGTCATAAAGCTTTAGAGTTGGAGGAGAACTTGGGGATCACCTAGTTCAATCTCCTTAATATAGGATATACATGGTGTCCACTCTTTTAGTT